TAGCCAGGTCCACCAGAGCTGAGGTCCAGGACCTTGCTGTCAGGCACACTGCCCCAGTTGAACTGAAGCATTTTCCCAGGAGTCCCCAAGGCTTTGCTTTCCGAAGCTTAAGTGATCAGCAGTCAGCTATTGTGCAAATAAAATAAAGAGGAACCTCTAGAATTTAGCAATAGTATATATGTAGACCAGGCTGGCCACAAAATCATGGAGCTCTACTGCCTCTACCTCCTAGACACTGGGATGAAAGGTATGTACCACCAAACACCGTGGTTATGAGACTCTTAAAGAAATGTCACACTATCTTAACTCCATGCTGCCTTGAAAGTGAATTATCTCTGTGTCCTTCCTGTGTTTGCCACCTACACTTTATTAGTCCCATGGTTATCTGATAATGACACTGCCCATCATCATGGTTCTTAAGGTGATAACCACATGTTTTTACTCCAAGATATTCTAATTGTTCCATTTTACCGTTATTAATATCTTACTCTGTGACTTAAACTTTATGTATAGGAAAAACACAGCATATATAGGCTTGTATTGTCTGTGTCCTCAGATAGCCACTGGGGGCCTGAGCAGATGCCAGCAGATACTGGAGAACTCTTAGGGGTTCCTTGTCTTCAGAGTCAAGGGGAAGGTTTGGAAGAACTGGCACCTGTCTGTGTGGGATGCTGTGTGTTCTTAGTAGCTACTAGAGGCTCATTCTTCCATTGGGCCACAAGATTGAGTCAACAGTTGGACAACTGTCTTCCTACAGTAGAAAGAATGTCGCTCCTTCCCCACATCCCCCCACACCCCTACCACCGCCAGGCCAGCTTTGAGGCACCAGTGTCTTACAGGCAGGCTTTTGGCAGACAGGTAGGCAGACCTGTGTTCTCATGCCACATATATCTGAAGTTCTGCGTTACCCACACACTCAGGTCTTAAATGGACGAGTCAGAATCAGCAGCCCTCCAGGGAGTGTTTCCATCCCCTAGGGGCTGGGCTGGGCTGGGCTGCGAGTGAAGAAGAGTAATGGTGGAGCTAATGTGGGGAGGCCAGTTCTGATGGTGGCAGTGATGGGGCCGGTGATGACAGGATGTATCGAAGGTGACAGGACAAGTACCAGACAATATTCTAAATGTCATGTGTCCTTACTCCACAATGCAGGGGACAATTTTATCTCCTCCTTTGACAGAGGAGAAGACTGAGGCATAGAGAAATTAACAGTAGTAATTATTAACAGCAGCTCACTCACCCAGAGTTACACACAAACGGATGTCATCCCTGCTTCAGGGAGCCTGAGGTGACACAGAACAACTGTATGACCTGAGCTCTGAGAGCAAGGTGATGGCGGATTCTGCCCGAGGTGGCTACACTTCCAGACATTCTACACAGTTAGCCGAGGTTCTCCAGAGACACAGAACTGACAGAATGCACCTATACTCATGAAAACTGGGCTTAGGAGCACGGCTTACGGCTTATGGCCTGACCATTTCAACAGCGGCTGTCTCCTGATGGAAAGTTCACAAGGCTGGATGTCTCAGCTGCTCTTCAGTGTATGCTGGAATCCCAAAGAAGTAGGCTCTAATGCTAGTGAAGGAATGGACTTGCCAGCACTAGTCGGGGCAGACAGGCAGAGAGCAAAACCTTCATTCCATGTCCTTTACATAAGCTGCCACCAGAAGGTGTGGCCCAGATTTAAGAGGGGAACTTTGCACCGCAAAAGATCCAGATTAAAGGTGGGTCTGCCCACTTGAAGTAATTTTAAAAATCCTTCACAGGTGTACCCAGCCACTTGGGTTTTAGTTAATCCCAGAACTAGTCAAGATGACAACCAAAAATAGCCACCACAGCTCCTAACACCCTTGTGTTAGGTTCTTTTTATCGCATTTTATGGAGGAAGTAGTCCAGGTACAGACTGGCTTAGGTTAAAGGTCACAAAGAAGGTTGCAGAACCAAGATTTGATCCTGCGATTTTAACCCTGGTAGCAAAGACAGAGCTTGGGTCAGAGATAATCTGTCACTTCTTCCCAGCATCCTTTGGGCTGTGTGAGAGAGAAGATAGCATAGGACCTGTCAAGGGATAAGGCAGGCACATCAGGGCCAGGGGTGGGAGGCGGGAACAGCAGGGACAGAGTGAAGTGGATCTGTGCCTCCTCTGTGGTCTCAATTGGGTAGATAGGGCTACAGATCAGTAGGCTGGTTGGGTGAGCACTCTTCGGAGTCTCTCTGGGCAGGAATGCAAGGTTCAGGAGAGTGACATGGTGAGATTTCTAGCAGGAAGTGGAACCACTTCCAGGCCCCAGCTGCCTAAGACAAGATAGTTTTGTGACATTGTCAATGCGGCTGACAGCCTTACACCCTGTTCAGACATGGAGTAGCACCCTGGTGTTAGACCTGCTTCGGGCCATGACTGAAAGCAGGCGTTGTCAGGAAGTAAGCAGTTGCCCACCAAGGTCTCCCGTGCTGCACTGCCTTTGGGGAGAGTGTCACAAGGCCCCACACAGTGCTAGAAAAAACATGACAGAGGCCTGATGGACCAGAGTTGGCTGTGACTCCGAGACCTTCCGCTCCCTCTCAGACATGGCAGAGTCACAGCATCACCATCTGGTTTGTGCCAGGACCTATGTGAAGAATAGATGCACACCTTGGTCTTGTGAAGGAAGAAGAAGGAGCAGACAGAAGCCCCAGCATAGATACACACTCGGGTTCTGGGACGGCCAGGATGCACTGACTGTGGCCTTCCTAAAGCCAAGACAATGCTGCTGCGGTCTTACAGGTTTTAGATGACAGCGATAACCAGTGACTGTTTAGAAATGAAAGTGGGGACTGCTTCTTTTCTGTAAGGTTTAGGAGAACAAGAAAGACACCACGAATCCCCTAGTACCTGAGGGTGTCCCAGGATTAAAACAATTAATTGGTCACATGGCCTTTCCGGTCAGCCCTCCTGACACTCCTCCCATTAGCAAGACCTCCAGGTCTTTGAGATGCCCCTGCCGGCAGCCAGATAATCACCTGGCAGAGCTGACCCCTGCTGGAGCCCTGCAAACCTTTTCTCAGTTGCAGCTCTGGTTCCTCTGGCCAGTGGCCGCTGCTGTGCTGCTGAAGCAGCGTGGAGAGGAGAGAATGAATGTGTGAAGTTTGTCTGTCTTCACTTCACCCCCTATAGTAACTTGCACTGATAGGACTGAAGTCCATGCCTTCAAGTCAGCCTATGGCCCTGGTTGATCCGATTTCTGGTTTTCCATCCTAATCCCCTCCACATAGTTTAGCTCCCACAATCGTATAGCCTCTGTTCAGAACACAATGGACTTGGCCAGCGTATTTCACCCTTCAGATCTTGCCCCAAACCTCCCTTCCCTGGGGTAGTATAAATACTGGCCTTGGGTATTTTTTCCCCAGCCTGAGCTCTTGTGCCTTTCCTGGCACCATATTAGTTACACTGAGATTAGTTCTTCAGGGATCTGCCTCTCCTCCTAACTTATCACCTAGCCAAAGGGTGCTCCCAGCTGAGAAAGAGCAACCCTGCTGCTGCATCCGTCCTCTCTGGAAGTGTGTCTGCCAAACAGCTCTGCAGCGAAAGGACAGATCCAGAAGGTATTCCATGAATAGCTAGGTGCTTCCAGCGGTTTTAATCAGTGGGATTTGCTGCCTGTCTGCCTTTTTCTTCTGTGATCTGGGGAGAAACTGGGCTCCCCCTGTTTCAGGAGCCTGTGCCTAAAACTAAGCACACTAGAGGAAACCCAGCAGAAAGCACTGTATCAACAGGGGTACATCTTATGACCAGGAGGCTTGCGTCTTTAAATATCTGCTCCCAAGGCCCATTATTTTGTGCTTGCTTGGCCCATCTCTACCCTTGGAAACCCAGCCTGATCATTTAGTCCATGCTGCCGGGGGACGCTTCTGGGCTGGCAGTGTGCTGGCCTCGTTTTTGCCAAGCGGGTGGGATCCTTAGCGAACACAGGATGGCTGTCCGGCAGCCCCGAAGTGTCCAGAGTCTTCCCTCAGAGATTAGCAGCAACCTTGTCCCTACCTGCCTCTGTGTCTGGGCTGCCCTGGGCTGCATCTGGGCTTCCCTTTCAACCCTAGCCATTCCTAGGCACTTGCCCCCTAGTTCAAAAGAGACTCCGCTGTCTGGTTAAGGCATCTGGAGACCTCTGAAGATATTAGATGCTGGAAGAAAGATCTGCTGGGGTAAGAGGTATTGGGAGACCTGGGAGAGAACTCCATCAGTTGGCAGATTTGTCCGATTAGCCCCAGGGCTGTGGCTGCCATTGAGAGGCAGAGGATGCTGGGAGCAGGTGAGGTTGCTTCCCTGTCCTCAGTTGTCTGTGCTTTAGGGATGATGGAGAGTAGGGGATGAGATGGAAGGAAAGCAGGCCATTTAAGGGTGATGACAGGCCCCAATAGGCAGAGCCTGTGATGCTGCTACTAGGGGTGTTTTGTTTTATTGGTTTCCTAGACGAGGAGGGATAAGACTACCATTGTTCTAACTTGTGTCCCATGCCCACTCTAGCCAGCAGATCAGGGAGCCTCACTTGGATGGATGACCTGCCATGGCTATGTCTGTTAGGGAAAGGTGGCTTCCCAGAGCGGAATCTGCTGGTCATAGTAAGACAGCAATGAGTGAGAAGCAGGCAACACCAGAAACCACTGTGGTCCCATGCAGCTGTCCTGTTTCCTGCCTCTCAGAGACTCTTCTCTATTCCTTTCTGGGCTGGGGCCGAGTACATCTAAAGATCTCTCTGGGTTGAGAAGATCCTTGGAGTAAAACTGAAGCCTGTCTTCTGCAGAGCTATCCTTAGAGAGTTCTTGAATCTTACAGGCAAATCCATCCTACTGGCCACTAGAGAGTGCCCCCAGCACAAGAGGCAGTATTTGGATTTGCACCGCCATTTGGCCCTCTTGTCCTGGGTGGCTCAGAAGGCTCACAGCCCGGTTCTACACGGAGTGGAGCTCAGCATCATGCATGGACTCCTGGGCTCTCATCTGTCCACTAACTGACGCTTCTTTTGCAGCTGAGAAGAACACCTCTGGAATGATCAGCCGACCCTCTCCGGGGAGGATGGAGTGGATCATCCCCCTGATTGTGGTCTCAGCCTTGACCTTCGTGTGCCTCGTCCTTCTCATTGCCGTGTTAGTGTACTGGAGGTGAGTACACACTGAGGGTCGACTGGGTGTCGATCGCTGGGGAGTTGAATGCGTGATCTTTATGTGCAGAAGCAGTGAGCATTTGCTGGCCTGTGTCTCTCACCTAGAGATGTTTGTGTCTCAGGAAGATGGCACAGGCTAGAACTGCCTCTGAGGTCCCAGCGCTTAGGGGAAACTTTACTGGAGAATCTGGGAGATCCATGCTTACATTCCAGTTCTGCTACTTGCTGGATTTAGACCCCTTTTCTGTTTTGAATTTTAGTTATGTAAACCTACGAAAGGACCAGGCAACTTCCCCAGCACTTCCAGCTTCCCTCAGATCAGGCCTTTACTTTGCAGTATCCACGTAGTACATTAAGTAGCCTTTATCTTTAAAATATCCATAGCATTTCAGTGAAAATTAAATTGGGTGATCACAAAAAACAGCTACTATGTCACATGATATTTAGTATCCTGGAGGCAAGTGTGTTGGCTTGTGGCTGGCCTTTCATTATCATTGGCCTCCAGAGAGTTTTCACTGTGTCCCATGAGGAGCTAGCTTATAGCCTCCATCGAGATGTTCCAGAGTTTTCAGCTACAGAGCCTCTGCCACTTCAGTGGAGTCAGTCAGGATACACCAGATGGTGGCCCAGGCTTCCATCATCGCTCCAACATCCCAGCATCTTCCCCAGTGTCTAAGAAGAGTCAACGATGTGCTCCTTCCTTTTCATTAACTAGACACAAGCCAGAGTCGCCTAGGAAGAAGCAGCCTCAGTTGAGGAATTGTCTCCATTAGTCCGGCCTGTGCGCATGCTTGAAGGGCATTTTTTTAAAATCGCTGATTGACCTAGGTGTGCCCAGCACACTCTAGGCAGTGCCATCTCTTGGCAGGTGGACCTGGGCTGTAGAAGAGGAGCAGCTGAGAAAGCCAGGGGAGTAGGCCAGTAAGCAGTTTTCCTTTGTGGCTCTTGCTTTGCCCCGCTGTAGTTCCTGCCCTGATTCCCTCAGGAATGGCCGCAATGGGGATATAGGAAACAGGTTGCTTTTGGTAAGGTTGTTCATCTCAGCCATAGAAAGCAAAGCAAACTAGGGCAATCAGTGTGATGGTTGATTTCTGTTGTCAACTGTGTTGTATTAAATCCCTGGGAAAGCTTCCTCCTGAAAATGGGCAGCACTACCCCCTGAGCTGGCATCTAGGCTGAAGAGAGAGAGGGGAAAGAGAAGGCTGGCAGAGTGCTAGAATTCCTTTCCTCTGCTGATTTGTGGAGGTGAAGTAACTTTATGCCACCCCATGCTCCTGCAGTGAAAGACTACGCTCAAACTGTGAGACTAAATAATCCTTCCTCCTCCAAGCTGCAGCTGGTCAAGGATTTGCTCATGGCAATAAGAAAGGGAACAAAAGAGCCAGTGGCGGCAGGCATAGTTCAGTTCCTCCTCATCTTCTTCCCATCACTTCTGTTGTGTTTGAGGCACAGCATCCTGTGGAGACAAGTAAAGCAGATGTTAGAGTTTAGTGAGCTCCGCTGTCATCGCCTTGTACTTCAGTGGGGCAGGCAAGAAAGCAAGGTCTAATATGTATTCCAGAGCTCCAGTGAGAAATAGAGAAAACTGCATCTGGAAAGAGGACGTTCATGGCTGGGGCCTGGAGTGATCAGAGTGGCTGTGAAAATCCTGATTGGGCAATCATACATGAGCAAAGACCCGAATGATGGGCTCCATCCTAACCTAACCAAATGCCCTTTCTAGTGTAGGAGGCAGCATGTGAAAAACAACTAAGGCAGGAGCATGCCTGGCATGTTGAGAAATAACCAGGAAGTCAATGTGATTGGAGCACTGGAGTACAGGAGAGACAGTCCAGTGGGGAGAGGCTGGGTCCCAGACAGCCTTTGGACTTTTTACTTTTTTTTTTTTTTTTTTTTTTTTGGCTTCTATTTGTTGAGACAGGGCTTCTCTGTGTAGTTCTGGCTGTCCTGGAACTCACTCTGTAGACCAGGTGGCCTCAGACTCAGAGATCTACCTGCTTCCACCTTTTACTGCTGGGCTTATAGACACGTGTCACCAATACCTTGCCTTTGATGCTAATGTGAGCAGGGATTTTACAGAAGAGTGGTGTGGTCTAAACTTATAATTACTTGCCGCTGTGTGAAGCAGAGATTGGAGATTGTGAGGAAGAGAAAAGAGGCCGGGAAAGGTGTGTCTTTGGTTCACAGGAGGCCTTGGTGTGAGTGGTGACCCTCCTTTTCCACAGGTGAAGGCTCAGCAGGAGGTGTTTACTGGTACATGCTCTCACGTCATTTCTCAACTGAGGAGGACTAGATACATTGGTCATCTTGGGTTCCCCAAATATGTGACTGTAACTCCATTTGAGAGTATAGCACAGTGGTTCTCAACCTTCCTAATGCTGCAACCCTTTAATACAGTTCCTCATGTTTTGGTGACCCCCAACCATAACATTATTTTGTTGCTACTTTGTAACTGTAATTTTGCTAGTTATGAATTATAATATAACATTGATATGCAAACATATCTGATATGTGACCCCGTAGTGGTCAAGGCCCACAGCTTGAGAACCACTGGAGAGGTTCTGTAGCTGCTACTCTGCTGACCATGTCTTCTAATCCTGCCATAAAGAAGCACCTGACCTGGGCAATGGTGTGCACACCTATAATCCCTGTTTGGGAGGCAGAGGCAGGAGAATCTTCGAGTTCAAGACCAGCCTGGTCTACAGAGTGAGTTCCAGAACAACAAGGGCTACACAGAAAGAGAAAAGAAAGAAAGCATGGGTAGAGCCAAGCATGATGGTACCCCCCTGTTGTCCCAGCATTTTGAAGGTAGAGACAGGAAGACTGCACATTTGAAGTCAACCTGGATTTTACAGCAGGTTTACCTCAGCCTAGGCTACATAGAAAGGAGTCAGAAGGGAGGGAGGGACAGAGGGACAGAGGGAGGGTGGACAACTTGTACCAAGCAGTTCTGGGGGGGGGGATAAAACTAGACCACATGCTACACTGTATCCTCTCCCAGATCCTGAACACTGAGAAGGGCTGGGCACGGAGTGGCAGGACAGTCACGGAGATCAGGCAGCTGAAGCACTCTGATTCAGGAGGGGCTTGGAATGTAGGATGACAGCTGTGGACCACCTACTCTTCAAGGCACACTTTCCCTGAAGACTGAAATGATAACTGTTTATGTTTCTGAAAAACTAAGTTAGTACAAACCTAGTCATGCCAAAATATTATTTTTTTTTACCCCGAAGTTTGGCTTAACGTACTCAGACTGTTAGGCCTAATCCAGTAGAGTCTATGTTTGAGCTTTCTACCAGACATTCAATGGCGGTGCACAAAAAGGACTGTAAAAGAAAAAAAAAAATCCTGACAGCAAGAAAAATAACATCATGTTAAGATGGCTGTGTTGGCAAAACAAGAGAACAGCCTAGAGGGGACAAGGGCCTGTTTTTCTATCCAAATTTCTTCCCTGTGATTAACATGAAAGGAGGCAGTACTAGGGAGCTCACATAGAGAATTGGCAAGTAGGACAGGGACTTGTGTCCCCCACGGGGGCGTGGCTTTGAAGCTAGAGCAGAGACAGTGGGTGGCTGAGATGAATGACAGGCTCACCCAAACCTCCAGGGCTGTATCCTCAGGGGGCAAGCCTGGCGCCCACAGTGGCAGCAGTCTTTTGCAGCCAGTGTTACAGATTCCGAGCATTTTCACCTGGAGGCGGTGACGCTGCAACTTAATCATTCATGAAAAAGTGGAAAAATCAAACCCAGAGTGTCTAAATTCTCTCCCTGCCTTTCCCCCTGCTGTGTAGTTTGAGAGTGTGATCATTTTCAACAGGTCCACTACAGGGGACAGACACTGTTCCAAACACTCGAGTGGCACCCATCTCCTGTGATCTATACAAATCTGTGTGGTAGTTGATAGGTCTTTCCTGGGAGAGAAAGAACTGACATTTGTTGAATTGCTGCTATGAGCCAGGCAAAATGCAATGTTATCACAATACCTTTTGATTGTATTTGACACACAAATCAAATTCTTTCAAGTCGTATTGACTCTTTACACTGAAAGTTCCAGGGACATCAGGCGTGGCTGTTCTTGGAAGCTAGAACAATACACAAGGACATGGCTGGCACAGTTCGTTCTTCATGGGCGCCCTCTGGCCTATGTTAGACTTATCATCCCAGCAGAAAGGGACTTTGTCATCTTATAGTTCTAGTGAGGTCCCAAAATGATGTCTGACTTTGGTCATCTGTCCACCTCTAGAGTGGCTTGGGCTGGAAAGCAGAGTATGCCTGTCATGCCTGGATTTCACTCTAGAGCCCCAAGTTTGCCTTACAGGTATTATCCTCAGAAACATGAACTGAAAGCCAGCAGTGGGTGGTTTTTCAGGGGACTGTCCAGACTTAGAAAGGCAGCCAGTTTAGAAGAAGATTCGGCTGAGTATTCTCTCATTTGTGAAGTTATGAAGCCACTTCTGTCATTGCGTAGACATGGCTTTGTATGCAGGAAGCAGCAGTGCTTACAGGGTTTGCCCCATACATTGTGGGGTGCTTGGTGATTCAGGCCCAAAGCCCTGTGGCCCGCAGGGCTCATTAAAGAATTAGGTGAGTGATGTAACGGACTATAAAGAACGTTTAAAGAAAGGTAGGTAGACGCTGGGCTTCAACCCAGCCTGGAAGGAAAGTCAGGTCCAGGGAAAGCTCCCTGGGAAGTTGATGACTGAAGAGCTAGAATTCGTGGGAGGAATCGGGAGAGGAATGAGCCTGGAGAGAGAGAATGTCCTTCAGCCAGCAGATACACTGGTTCAGTGTCATGGGAACAGCCTGCCTGGCAGCAAAGGCCCTACAAGTACTGGATGCCATTGCCCTGAGAGCTACTGAGAGGCACTGTGGGGCTGCAGGTGCAAGAGGCGGCCCTGAGAGGCAGACCATGTCGTGGTGAAGTAGGGACACCAGTCAGAACCTGGATTTGAAGCCAGACTCCACCAGACTTACAGCCTATGTGGAGAATGCACAGGTA